GATATTCTCTTGTAAATTAAAAAGTAATGCGTTACTTTACTAGTGTTACTTTAAAAGTAATCTGATTACGTAACTCGCGTTACTTGTAATGCGTTACCCCCAGCACTGGTCAACACACTAGTATGTTAAAGTCAGTCGCCTGACTCTAATTCAGCTGAAACAAAGAGGAGCTCAGTATTTCAGCACAGCGTCACGAGGGAAATCTATGTTACAATCACTAGACAGTTAATCAGTAAATGGATATGACTTCCAACCCTGACCTTGATACAATCTCTGTATGTATTCACAGGGCTCTACGCTTACTTTTCTTTTTAGGAGCTCTTGTGCTCCTAACTTAAAACATTTAGGAGCACAGTCAAAAATTTAGGAGCACCTTCTAATCAATAATCCAAAATTTGATAAAAAATTAGCCTTCCCATTATGGGGTGATATTTGACTCCTTAAAGTGACTTACAGTGGAATTTTGTTTTTACCTTTGTAATGAAAGAAATTAATTTAGCAAGGACTCAGTGACAGTAAAGACAATAATAGTGTTACAAAATATTTCCATTTCAAATAAGTGCTGTGCTTTTGAACTTTCTGTTCATTACAGAATCCTAAAAAGATATGTATAATGGTTTCAACAAAAAATATTGCGCAGCACAACCGTTTTCAACATTGATAATAATCAGAAATGTTTCTTGAGCAGCAAATCAGCATATTAAAATTATTTCTGAAGGATCATGTGACACTGAAGACTGGAGTAATGATGCTGAAAATTCAGCTTTGATCACAGGAATAAATTACATTTTAAGATATATTGTAAAAGAACGCAGTTATTATAAATTGTAATAATATTTTACAATATTACTGTTTTTACTATATTTTTGATCAAATTAGTGCAGCCTTGGTAAGCAGAAGAGACGTTTTCTGCTTCATTATTAGAGATTATGGATTATTAATAGGGCTGGGTAAAAAAATATAGATTTCTCGAGTTTAATCGATTCTCATTATTATGAAAGATATTAATTATTAAATCCCAAGAATCGATTAGTCTAGCCTGTTTTCAGTTAATGAACAGAACATTGTAGCGCACCTCCCATCAAATAAATCGCAATAAGCATTGTGCTTTGTTACTTTTGATATGAAACAAAATCTCAGATTTCAAATTCTGTCCATTGTATTACCGTATTCAGACAATAAATGCCGTTTTGGCGCTGCTTAATGTGGAGTGACGGATCGCTGTAGCGCCTCAGTTCAACAGACGCGGAAGCGCGAAACACATGTGAACTGATCATCTCCTCTGCTTTAATACCAGTTTCAGCACGAAATAAACATGACTAAACATCCGAAGTTAAGTTAATCGCTCAATCAGTGTTTCAACCGCAGAAAGACGTCAATATAATGGCTTGTGAACAATGTCACGTAACGTCACATATTCCGTGACCGTAAACTCATTAGTCAGCTAGAAAAATAAACTGTAGAGAGGGGCATTTTGCTAAATATATGCACCATATAACATATTAATTATAATTTTGAATGTTCTTCAAAGTTTAATTTGTTTAAATAAATCCGTCATGTTTTTGACATTTTTATATTAAAAAAAAACACTGTGCTCAACTGGCTCAATGAGTTTGAGAAGTGGCAAGAAGGCCTGAAGGACGAGGAGAGTTTAGAGGTAGAGTTTTGGTATTGTAACACGTAGATCTTCCCATTACTCATTACCATCGTTTATTATTCACAAGGGTGCATTTGAATTGCATCATGAATATTACAAATAAAGACACATTTATTATGAAGTGAATACTATTGCACGTAATATGTGTACTTCAGAGAAGTAAAATGGGGGGAAATGTGTCATACTTGCATACTGTTGCATTATCATTCATTAGTGCATCATGTGCACATTCCTAATTTAATTATAAATTAAACTTGGTCCTTTTACTCTTAATACATATGTGACCCTGGACCACAAAACCAGTCTTAAGTGTCAATTTTTCAAAATTGAGATTTATACAACATCTGAAAGCTGAATAAATAAGGACAATATTTGGCCGAGATGCAACTATTTGACAATCTGGAATCTT